ATATATATATATATATATATATATAGTGAGAGACGACGCTAACGAGTAGAGTCTGTAGGTGGTGTTGTAGAGAGGAAGAGAGATACTCTAGAGTAGTATATATATATATATATATATATATATATATATGGAAGAACCTAAAAAAATCCTATAGGCGAAATGCAACAGTGTTTCGCCATCCGTGGTGGTTTATTGAACAAACCCGCAGCGGACAACGCAGTCCATTGCGGTTCCGCTTGAATTTTTTGATCGCCACGGACATGCTAGGTCCATGGCAGTCGAAAAATGCATGCCGTCAGATTTTTGCGAACGGTGATGCACCTATGGTTGAAAACACTGTTCATTTTTGCCCATTGTGTAGATGCTTCTATATATATATATATATATATATATTCATATATGGAAAAAGTTTGTATAAGGTTGCAACCTTAAAATGTAGAATTAAGGATGCACCTCAAAAATCCATCGGAAAAGGTTGTTTTGATGTTAAAAAACCTTCTAATTGATCATCTCAACATCGAGATGTATGAATATGCATAAAAAAAAAGATTTCGAGTCCCAGAAACAACGCATCTTGCAACATATTATCTAGACCGTCCATTTTCAAGATTTTCATAAGTTTATAAATCTACTTGGTTTTAATCATTTCTGGAGTTTAAAATTTTATATTTAAATATGAAAATAGATTTTCATGTAATCCTAATAATTTTGAATCCAAATTTACATGTTATGATAAAATTTGGAGGTGCACCATAATTGGATTGTTTAAGGTTGCAACCTTATAGAAACCACACCCTAAATATATATATATATATATAGATGAAAAAGTCTTCCCAACGCCTATAAGTACAAATTGACAGTGATTTCACCTACCATCATCACCGTCCAAAGTTCATTACACAGTCACGATTGTCCTATAGTGTTTCATTTTTTTTTTTTTCTACAAATCGGAATGACCTAAAATTTGGAGTGTGTATACATCTTAGTAAGGCACACCTAATAAAAATATAAAAAAAATAATTCATAAAAAATAAATTGACCAAACTTTTTGGGGGTAGTTTGGTAAACAAATTCATGTAAAATATTTTTTTGATATTTTTCATAGATTCGCCTATTTTTTATGAACACACGCTCCAAATTTCAGGTCATTCCGATTTGTAGAAAAAAAAAATGAAAAATGAAACACTACCGGACAATCATGACCGTTCGATGAACTTTGGATAGTGATGAGGGTAGGCGAAATCACTGTTCATTTTCGCATATATTTTGTAGCATCTTCCATATATATATATATATAAAGAGAGAGAGGGTAGGCCCAAAAAGACATGGTTGGAAGTGTTCCGAAAAGATATGGGGACTTATGGCCTCACTGAGGGTATGGCCTTTAATATAGCAAAATGGCGAACCAGGATTCGTATAGCCGATCCCAATTAATAGGGAAAAGGCAATGATGATGATGATGACATATATATCTATAGGAAAAAGTTTATATATGATCGCAACCTTAAAATGTAAAATTACAGATGCACCTCAAAAATTCATCAAAAAAGGTTGTTTTAATGTTGAAAAAACCTCTAAATGGTCATCTCAACATCGAGATGTATAAACGTGGATAAAAAAAAAAGATTTTGAGTCCTAAAAATAGTGCATCTTGCAATACATTATCTAGACCGTCCATTTTCAAGATTTTCATATGTTTATAAATCTACTTGATTTTAACCATTTTTGGAGTTTTAAATTTTATAATTAGATATAAAAAATAGATTTTGAGATAATCCTAATAATTTTTTCACCAAAATTACATGTTATGTTGCAATTTGGAGGTGCGCCTTAAATGGATTGTTTAAAGTTGCAGCCTTATAGAGACCACACCCATATATATATATATATATATATATATATAGAGAGAGAGAGAGAGAGAGAGTAAACCTTCCAATGGTTGGGCAGCTATAATGAATAGTAATATAGGTGGAATCTCAGCCATCAAATCTTCATCATATGGTTCAGAATGCATAACACTATATGAATTTTAATATTTTTTCTATAAATATGATTAAGATGAAATTTTGGGTGTACATAACTAACACTATCGCGCACCATATAAAAATGCAAAAAAAATATTTTCAATAATTTAAAATGACCAATTACGATCATTTTATATTTTGGGAAACATTTTTTATATATTTTTTAATTGTGCACCCTATTTTTTAGTACACGAGTCTAAAATTTCATTATGACCTGATTTCTAAAAAAATATTAAAATTCATATAATGATATGCATTTTGAACCATATGATGAAGATCTAATCGCTGGGATTCCACCTATATTACTATTCATTATAGCTGCCCAGCTATTATTAGCTTTTTCCCTATATATATATATATATATATATGGAAGAGACTACAAAACGACTATGGACGAACATGAACAGTATTTTCACCTGTAGGCTCATTTTTTCGAACGGCATGGACTGTCACGGATATAGCATGTCCATGACGAGATTTTTTTCACGCAAAAAATATATAGGGACCGCCACGGCTCCCGTAGGTCCATAGCAGTTTTTAGGCAAAACCGTCATGGACATAATATGTCTGTGACAGGGGCGAAACACTGTAGCTATTCGCCTGTAGGTTTTTTTAAGACTTTTTTTATATACATATATATATATAAAAAATTCAATCTATCTATCTATCTATATATATATATATAGAGAGAGAGAGAGAGAGAGAGAGAAAGAGGGAGGGTGAGAGGGCGGAAAGAAAGAGGAGTAACCTGGGCTTGCCAGTAGACCCCTCTCCGTTAATTTTTAATCCAACAGTTAAATTTGTGCAGGCAAATCCAATGGTAGTCCACACATGGGTCGATGCTATAGCGATCTGCCCATGCGCGGACAAAATGTTTTTCCGGATAAACAAAATCCAATCAAATCAAAACTTACTGTAGCAACCATATCAGAAATATCCATGACCGCGGGCTGGCAATTTGAATCTTTCTCTAGCGAATCATAAAACCCAAGCATTCCTTGATCTTTATCAGGAAGAATATCATCGACATCTGGAATCTATTGCATGAAATAAATACAACTAAATGATTTTTTAAAAGGAAGAAACTTGAAGCGCCAATACCAATTAGAGGAATACAAAAGGATGAACATATATACCAAAGAAGCCTGAGCTTTCACATCTTCAATATTAAAGTTCCAGGCACTGATCCCTCGATTGTATTCATTCTACATAAATTTAAAAAATAAACCATATGTAGTCAATAAAATGCTGATAGTCAAAAGAGAATGCAAATAACATAAACGACAATGCTTTACTTTTGCTATTCACAAGGAATAGACTACATAAAAAAGGAACTCATCCTTGTTAAAATCTAAGTGCACTAACACAAGCATCAGCAATGTATAAAGAAAGCAGACATTTAACCTGGGATCTCTCCTCTTTCTCACCATCAGGCATTTTCTTTTGTGCAAGCATATCAGCTTCTTTATCCTAAAGAACATGCAAAAAAACAATGAGAAAATGAAACTATATATATCTACAGCGGACAAGAAAAGCATAGGAGAACTCCTAAAATTTAGAGGAATCTGTTGACCTTCAAGTGTCTAATGCGATCACCAAGAGAAGGCATTCCATCCAATATAGTCCTTGCCATGTAATCATTGGACCTTGCTTGCTTAAAGAACGCGTGTTTCAGAAGCTTTTCAGCACTGGGACGTTTTGAAGGATCTTTCGCCAAGCACATAGCGATCATTTGCTTGAAAGACTGAATGAAAAATGCACCAAAGAATAGTTGCTCATGAGGAAAACCAATCCTGAAATGGCATGAACAAAGGCATGTTGTGCTGCAACTACAATGTATACCTTTGAGAACTTCTTATCTCTCTCATAATCAAGGCCTGGTGGAGCATTTTGCAAGGTCATAAGCAAAACCTAGAGAAGAAAAGGAAAAAAAGAAAAAGCTACCATTATTTCACAGTTTCAAAGTGGTCAACAATATATACCGAAATCATGTAGCGAAGAAGTACAAATTTTCACAAACCTTCATAGGAGGATATTTTGAAAAAGGAGCATGACCATGAGCTAGTTCTAATGCAGTTATGCCAAAAGACCATATATCTGCCCTGAAAGAGAAAAAATGATGAAGCATAAAAAGTGGAACAAATGTGGATACAAGAAGATGAAATCAAACTTACTAATAATCAGACAAACATACTTAAAGTTATAGCCATGTAACTGCTCCATCACTTCAGGTGCCATCCTACAAAATAAATTACAGATGAACAAGCCCATTAAAGCCCAATGATTTTAATCAATAAAAGGTAATTTAACCAAACAGTTAAAGTCAATACCTTCCACAACAGAAACAACACTAAGGTTCCAAACAAATGTTTACAGATTAGACAGAATACGCACCAGCAAGGTGTCCCAACAAATGTATTTCTGGAGCGCTGCCTATCACCTGAATCATAAAGGCATACAGAAACACCAAAATCGCCCAGCTTAATTGCACCAGTTGCTTCAACTAAGATATTTCCAGCCTGTACCAAAAATACAGATTTCCAAATAAGAAATTAGAGCATAATAACAGGTTTCTCACACTCCGTTGCATTTTTAACAAAAGAAGGAAAGAAACAACTCACTATACTGTGTGCTAAGGACCTACAAATCAGAGTTTCAATATATAACCCTTTCTAAGGGCTGACAAATTTTGTGAACACATGATTTGGGTGCATTTTGGGTTTTGATTTTCATTGCTTTTGATAGTTTGGTCATTATGTTAAGAGACACAAATCAAGAATATGCAGAATCATTAGTTTTATTAGCGTAATCATATTGTATCTGGGTATTTTAAACCTTCATGTCCTCAGATACTTGTAAATCTGGGGCATTATACATGTTGTTGTCTCCTTCACAAGCTTATATTCTTGCGGTCCTGTCAATGCACATAACATATGATTAGCTAGCTTTTATTCCTATTTGTTCATACATTTACCAAACTCTTTGGATCCATCTAGGATGCACTTTATCACACTTTTATTTTCATATTTACCAAGCAATTAGTGTGGATGCATATAAGTGAAGCCTCCATTAATCTACAAGAAATTCATTCATCCCATATCAATTTGCATTGCTAAGATGTGGTGTACAATTCGGGTTATTGTTTCACTTTGACTTAAGGATAAGACTGTTCCAGAATTTCAGCACTTGCTCTGAATAGCAATTTTCTTGTCCTTTTTCTAGTAACATTTACCCTCTTTCTCACTATGTCCTGTCAGATGCATTTCAAAACACAATTTGAAACACTTAAAACCTGGCACATGCATCAGCACATGTTAAGCGCCAGATCCACAGAATATGGCTTGCCAATAAAGCTGCCCAAATTTGACTGAAATGTGTTCAATATACAAGAAACCTAGAAATTAAATCATTCCAAAACTACAACATACCCAAGCAGCATGAGCATGCCTTCTTAAGGGTGCATTTGATAACTTTCTCTGCAGTTTCTCTGGGATTCTCCCTACTGCTAACTTTCCTAGATTCTCGGAAGCAGATGAAAATTGGTAACCTGAAAGTTGGGGACCTTGTTTGATAAATTGTGGTGCTGGTATTTTCACTTGCTTGGCATTGGGAAAGCTAGTATATATATTATAGATACTATACTATTATATTAATATAATATTATAATATTATAATATAATATAATATACATTATTATATATTATTATATTACATTATATATTTTATATTAATATTATATATTTTATATGTAATATTATTATATTGTTTGTTAAATTGTGGTGCTAGTATTTTCACTTGCTTGGCATTGGGAAAGCTAGTATATATATTATATATAACATATATTATATTATATTTTATATTATAATGTTATATCAATATAATGGTACATATTATATTAATATTATATATAATATACATTATTATATATTATTACATTACATTATATATTTTATATTAATATTATATATTTTATATGTAATATTATTATATTACATTAATATAATATAACAATATATCATAATATATTATAATGTTAGTATTATTATAATAATTAACATTATAATATATTACATATATTATAATAATGTTATATTATAATATGTAATATAATATATTATTATATTATAATATGTAATATAATATATTATTATATTACATTATATTATTAATAGAAAATTGGCAGCAAAGAGGTTCTTATGGTCAGCCACTTTCCTCAAGGGATTAGTGAAATAGGGAAAAATAAGTTCCAACTTTCCCCAATTTTACTGTTCTCAAACAGGTGAAAACGACAATACAGGAGAAAGTGTGAGACTTTCCCTTGTTTCCTCCGTTATCAATGCCCCCTAAGGGCATCAGCTGCTGAAATGATTTCTTGTACCCAAGTGTTCTTTACAGCCTTCCGAGCCCGAAATCACATGGTATCAAATTGATAGAGAGAAAAAACCCGATTTTTCTAAAAATCTCTAGCAACTAGAGCATGTTGCTTTAAGAAAATCAAATCTTCCTTTGTTTGTCCAACATACAAGTGTGTACTTCAATTTTTGTTTTATTTTTTTATTTTTTACTAGGAAAAGATTCTTATCTGGAAACGTTATTGCATGGTTGCTAAACTTAAACCAAACAGCAGTACACATCAACATAAAGAATAAAGTCAAAAGAAATATGATGAATCTTTGTATTTCTCTACACTTACAAACCAGAAGTAAGAATCATGATTTATAATATAGAGAATACTTCCATATTTTATAGTGTAACAGCCCGTGTCATTCCAACGGTAAAGAAAAAGGAATAGCCAATTGATCAGATATGCACAGCGTTATTGATGCCTTGTGTATCATTTGCATGCAGTCCACCTATCACTCTAAATAGCAAATTTGGTTTTCCATTCTAACAAGACATTCTCAGTAATATCCATTAGATTGTAATATGGAGATGTTCAACTACAACTATTAATATGAATATCTCACTAGTGACTAAATCTTCAAGGAAATTGTAAATCCTTTACATACACAGGTACTTCACAGTGTATATTGAAGCAAATAATATATATGGAAAAAGACATTATCACATAACAAGATGAACAAAATGCTAACCTTGATATCTCGGTGAATGTGCCCATGATGATGAAGATACGCTATGCCCTTTAACGCTTCACGTAAAACAGTCGCTATGATTGTCTCCTCAAAACCATCTGGATACGCATGCTTCAATATATGAAGGCAGGATCCACCGGCCATGTAGGGCATGACAACCCAAAGGGTATGCTCATGTACAAAGGAACAATGTGCTTTAAGGACATTTGGATGATCCACCAAAATCATTGTTTGTGCCTCTCGACGGATATTATCCTGCATTGGGAAAGAGGATGATAATGAATTAAAGATTTGAACAACAATCAGCATCATTATATTCAATACTATCAGAAATGAAAATTATATTATTTATAACAGGAGGCAAACATTGAATATACCAAATTTTGAATAAGTATATTTGCACAGTATAAAACAATTAGTCAATAGTATAAACAATTAATATAATAAGTACCAAGCATCCTTCTTTGCCAACAAATAATAATAATGTATTAGCAATAATAATGAGGTTCTGTTGTTGTTGCTGTTGGTGGTGGTGGTGGGGTGGTGGTGGTATTGTTGTTGTTACTATTAGCAATAAGACTACTGCCGTTGTTATAATTTATTTTTACCGATGTTATTATTGTCGTCATTATTCATGGAACCTAGCAGTTTCTCATTTTATCTTCTTTTCATTAATGTAATGTAGCTTCTGATAAACATCCTCTTTTCTCTTGTAAAGGGTTGCTCTAACATCAAACAACTAAGCGAGCCACACATTTTACATACACTTGAACAAACAAGGGAATAAACGTAAACTTCTTTATTGTCCTTTGCAATATTGTGACAATTGTCTGGGGCCTGGAAAATCATTCTTGTTCTGCTATTTCATAAAGTGTATTTATACATTGCATCTTTCATTTTGCCAACAATTACAATTCAATGAGATGTTGCATCTCCCTCTCCCTCCTTAGTAGAACATGTCAACTTCTTATCATTTGGAATTTTCTCTAAGGGGACAATATTCCTAAACTTGTTCATCACTATTCCCATTTTAGAAGACATCTTTAAATACCTTGATGTTTCTTTCGTTTTGAATTGGAATTTGATCCTTTGAGACCGGTTCCAACAAGATTTGTGTGGCACCAAGACTCATTGAATCATTTCTCTTGATAAAAGTGTGTGTGCGTACATGTGACTTAATATTATTCTTGATAAAAGTGTGTGTGTGTACAATTTAATAACTTTTAGCCTCACGGAGAAGATTGGTTTTAACGAAGGAACGGGAATCTCCTTTTGGTTCTATTTTTCAAGTAACCATGTATTTCATCGAAGCAAATGTATACATAAAGTTGTTATCAAAAGAGTAAGACAAATGGAGATGTATACAATATAGAGAGAGAGAGAGAGGGGAAAAGAGAAAGAAAGGACAGGGCAATTACAAAACAACTAAGCCAGCAAAGAATATGTAACGTCCTGCTCCACAGAAAGGGCTCCATTGCAATAGGAATAAATCATACCAAGTTATTTATGTCTTGTTGCATAAACAATATGCCAGCTTCTCTTAAAATAACTCCCAGCAATTCAACATCGTGAACAAGGTCTCCCAACATTAGCACGCTGAAATATTATCAAACAGATACCCAACAACTGCATATGGATCATGTCCAATAAACCTGATGTCCTAGTAGGACTGTCTAAGATTCAAGTGACCTTTTAATCTCAATTAACCATGTGAGGGTCTAAAAGGAAAACTGTGTCATAAAGCATCATAATCAGCAGGTAATTTAGAAGCAAAGGCGGGCAAATGACACAATCAATTGGGCAATGGGAATAGTTATTCAGTTTTGTGTCGTGGCTATGGCACTAAATTCACATTGGATCAGCAAAATAACCAAATAACATGCTGTGATCAGTATCGGATCCTAAACCTTTCAGAAAAGGATATCAGGAATACCCAAAAAAAAGTGCCTTCTAATGTACATTGAAATCATAATTACAAGTTTATTTTTTTACTAAGTTAACCTTACATAATTACAAGTTTATCGGCAAAAAGGCCAAGATTGCGATGACTCTCGAAAAAAAAACTGAAAATGAAGAATTCCACACCACCCCCCATCCCAAAAAAAAAAAAAGAGGTAATAATCTAAAAGAAAAAACACCGAATTTCATTGGAAAAGAAACAGAAGAGTACTAATGATAATAATAACAACAACTCCTCATAAAAATTAGCTAATTAACAAGAACTCACTGATGGATTCTATAAACAAAAATATAAATAAGATCAAATACGAACGCTCCAACAAAAAAAAACGAGAACCATTGTTCATTAAATGCAATGAGAAATCAAAACCAAAAGGCTCACCAAATTACTGTTCGTCTTCTCAAAATCCAGAACCTTGATAGCAATGATCTCATTCAAAGGAATGCATATTGCCCTAAAAACCTTAGCACTAACACCATGTCCAATCTCCTCATGGAGCCTGTAATCCTCAGCCTTGATCGGATACTTCTTCCTCTCCATTTTCACCACTTCCTCTCACAAACCTCAAGCTCGACACACACCATCGAGACAGCAGAGAAAGCAAAACTCACATTGGTTGCAGAGAGAGAAAACCCTAAATCCATGGATCTGAGGCATACTGCTCCCAAAAGCTACGCCAAAAAAAGCAGACGCTCTAGACCGATCTGGTAAGTGCATGGCGAAGTATGAAATGGAATTCCAAGAGCTACGCCATGAAGAGGCAGAAAAAGAATTAGGGCTTGATAGACTGGTTCCTAGAGAGAGAGATTTTCAGAGAGATAAAGAAAGAGAAGAGAGATTTTCCTTTTTGTTTCTTATGGTTTCAGAGGAGCGCGGGGCTCTCGGCGCTTGAAGCGTTTGTAATGCGAAAGCCCGCCACATGGGGTGGTGACTTCCTATTTTTGTAAAGGTATATTTAAGAGCCCTAATTTTGACACCCTGTGTTTTTTGTAATCACACTCTCTCCCCGCTCTTTAGGAGATGGAGCCGTACGGGAGAGTTAGGAGTAACATTTTTTGGGTCGATGGGATTTGAGAATAATATAGGAGTTAGGGATCATGGCCATAAGTGGTCCTGCCGGTGTTTTAAAACTCATAATTGGATTTTCCTTCCATTAATATGTTAGGCCAAAATTGAGCAATCATCATCCAACAAAACTATTACTAGGTGCGAATTAGTTCAACTAAAAGGATAAAAAAAAACTACTAGTCAATCCAAAAAGACATGATAGGAAGTAGTGTAAAAAAAATACGGGGATTCATAACCTCCCTCAAGGTATGGCTCTTGATCGAGCACAATAACGGATCAATATTCATATAGCTGAACTATAATGATAATGAGATCATCCAACAAAATATTAAAAAAAAATAATAATAATAATAAATGCATTGTAAAGCCTTCTTCTCCATCTAAAAGGGCAATGCAAATCTCGGTAGAATGGGGCACATTCCCTGTGTTTGGTAGAGAATTGCCCTGCTAACCTCTGGTCTCAATCTGGAAGTTTGAATTGATTATTTGAATATTGTATTGTGTTATTATATTACGTCACATTCTTAACAACGAATAAATATACCTGGTGAAGGAAATAATGGAAAACAAGGCAAAAAATGGATTTTAAAGCTCTAGTTCTAAAAAAGAGATCTCCATTTATAATTTTATAATGGTGATTTATTTTCCTTTTTAACTATTTTAATCTAAAAGGCTCATTGTACCTAGGGCTAGTGATGGGCTAGCCAGCCCCAACTCTGGCCCATTCCTGGTCTCTGTAGGGTTGCCTCATTTAAATCCAACCAAATATGCCTAGCTTAGGCCCGACTTTAGCCTTGTCTGGCTATCTAGGATAGCCCAAATACTTAAAAAAAAAATTAAAACAAGGGGAAAAAATAGTTGGGTGGGACTGACCCTGTTATGGGCTTAAGACAAAACCGGTACAGCCTAATAATATCCCGACCCTTGGGTCACATTTTGTGGCCCAAGCCTAGTTTATTATATAACTGCATGATGCCTATTTTATTGTGAAATTTATACTGATGTCCATCTAAATTTGTTGTTATTTAAGGAACCTCCGAAAAAAGTTTTATTTGACATTGATATTTTTTTTTATTGCTTGTACTTCAAATGTCGAAACTTGAAATTTAATTTTTTTCTCATAAACTTATTTCAAAGTTCAAACCTTAAATTTTATTTATTTATTTATTTTTGCTCATAAACTTGCTCGTGACATTAAAAATCCAAAGTTATTCCATCAACTTGAGACATTCAATGTCAAAATTTGATGCTTGGGATACCTTAGTTGGTTTTGTGTTCCAAGAGAAAGGCCCGGGCACATGGTTTGTAGAGACTTTGCGCTTTAAATATGTCTCTAGCATAAACTACCAAAAGATTCAACATCAATTGCACTTGTTCAAAATAGGGCACATGATAATGTTACCTTAATGGTTTCCTAACGCCTTAAATTCTTGGGCCTTGAAGCCCCGGAGTTGTGATGTCTTGATAAAAACCAACTTCATATTTTGAAGGTCAAAAGTTGACACTTTAAACATCTGTAGACTTTCAAGTTTTGAATGCTTACGAGCGAAAAAATATTCACTTTCAAACTTTCAAGGCCCCAAAACTTTTGAGCAAAAATAATATTAATCTTCAGACTTTCAAGGTCTGAGGTAAGAACAATTTAAAAAACTAAAACATTTCAAGAAAATTGAATATGAATGTACAATCAATATTTTTGAGGGATTTCTTTATGGGTGCATTTTATATAAGGCCATGGCTCTAAACAATCAAAGTAAAACGCACCTTCAAATAGTATCGAGAAATGTGGTTTCAATATTGGAAATATTTGTGATAGCCTTAAAATATATTTTCATCTATAATTATAAAATTTAAATCTTCAAAAATAACGTACATTGAGTAGATCTATGAAAACTTGAAAATCTTGAAAATCTTGAAAATTGATAATCCAAAACTGCATTACAAGATGCAATATTTCCTGCACTTGAAATCCATTTTTTTCTCATGTCCATACATATTGAGGTCAAGATGATCAAATTGATGATATTTGAGCATCAAAACAACATCTTCAAGTGAAATTATTGATGTGCGTCCTAATTTGATTGTTTAGAGTCTCGCACTTATATAAACTCTTTCCTTTCTTAAATAATAGTACCTTAAGGGACTTTAGTTTAGATTTCTCATTGTTATTCCATATCTTAATAAGATTGAATCACAGCGGAAAAACGAATAGCGGCATAACCTTGATTACTGGGCGTTATTTTCACTTAACTCTCGTTATTGCAAACCATGATAAGACCCTCTCAACGGTTTTGCACGGGATAAATGTGATCTATACGCGATGGGTGTGTATACTAAAAAGAAGGGTTTCAAAACTAGGGAGCCTGAAGTAGACGTCCCGTTTATTAGGCCACGATTTTGGGAGAATGAATGGGATTCTTGAGAGGTCGTTTTCCCTTTCATGCGTTAAATAGTTAAAAGTACGAAAAAGGCCCCGCACTTTTTTCTTTTTCAGCCCCTATAGTTTCCCTTTAATAAATGAAAGAGAGGGTCGTCAATGCTTAAAATAGTGAAAAGTGGTCCTAGGCTTCTACCTTTCTGGCCCTGTATTTTCTCTTTGATATAAATGAGAGGCTCATCCGCTCCGAGTTCTTAAGGAATATTAATGTACTCCAACGATTGACAGAATGCTTCCACGTGTCATTTCGATCATTCATTTTTTATTTTTAACTTTTTTTTAGTTCATTTTTTAATGGGTAAAAACAACATAAAATTTATATATTTATCTTTATCCAACCGTCCAGTGACAATGACAGGCTATGAGTGTCCCAATCACAATGTCACATCTCTTCGGTGTTTTATTTGATGAGAAACGTTGTTGTACTTCTCCACTATTTTATTTTTAGGGAAAGATTTTTATACTTCCTTTATACCATAGAAAATCTATGCTTCTCCCATCATCTAGCGGTCTAATTTTGATCAAAAAAGCCACTCGTCGTTTGATCTTAAATCTGAAAGTATTTTAATTTTCGTTTTTTTATACATATTGTATGAATATGAAATTTGGTATGTATCATCTTCTCATTGGGGCGCACTTATAAAAAATATTAAAAATAATATTTCGAAAAATTATAATGACCAAAATACCTCTTGAAAATTTCATGAGTATTTTGGTCATTTTATTTTATTGAAAATATTTCTTTTATATTTTTCACTAGTACGAGTTTAATAATTGATTGGACGTACCAAATTTGGTGTCAAAATAATTTATATAAAAAATTATAAATAAAATGATGTAGACACATGACATTGTAATTGGGGCAATCTTAGCCCCATATTCAGAGTGGAGAGTTGATTAAGGGGAAGTATATAAGTTTTATATTGTAGAGAAAACATAGAAAGCTTACCCTTATTTTAAATTTTTTTGTATATAAATTATTTTCATACCAAAATTTTGGCATCCAATCATCTATTAAACACGTACTTGTAAAAATTATTTCCAATAAAATAAAATGTCTAAAATACCCATGAAAGTTTCAAAAAGTATTTTGGTTATCACATTTTATCGAAAGATTATTTTTAATATTTTTATAGGTGTTCCCAATGAGAAGATGTCACATATCAAATTTTATATTTATACAAATTGTATAAAAAATTAAAAATAAAATACTATTCGTCCAATCTAAGATCAAATGATTAGTGGCTCACTTGATCAAAATTACACGGTTGGATAGTAGGTTCAGAAACAAAAAAAAAAAAAGATAGTTATCAACAATAAGGGAAAGGTTTTTATACTTTCCCTACAACAGTGAATACCTATGCTTCCCTACCATCCATCTATCCAAGTTCGATCAAGTGAGTCATTCATTGTTTTATCCTGGATTTAACTTTTTTAAAACAAATTATATGAATATGAAATTTGGTAGGTGCTATCTTCTCATTGGGGCGCACCTATAAAAATATTAAAAATAATATATTGATAAAATATAATGACCAAAATACATTTTGAAACTTTCATAAGTATTTTGGTTATTTTATTTTATTGAGAATATTTTTTACAAGTGAGAGTTTAATAAAGGATTGTATGCCCAAAATTTGGTGTCAAAATATTTTATATAAAAAATTTAAAATAAAATAGTATAGAGATGCGAGGTCGTGATTGGGGCAATCTTCACCCTCCATTTAGAAAGAAGCATATAAGTTTTATTTGGTAGGAGAAACATAGAAAGCTTACGGACGCCCACAAAAACAAGTGGTCCATAGAAAGAGAAGGCGACATGCTGTAAAACCACTTTTTCCCGATGCAAACAAACTAGAGGTTTTCTATGTACTCTACGCCATCGTCCCACGAATCAAACGGGCCAATGGCCGGTTCAACCGGCCTAATTGGGAAGGTCCAAGGTGTCCAAAATGTGTTTTATATATATATATATATATTTAAAAAAATATGAACAACATATTTAAAGTATGATTAAACAAAACACATCTAAATGAAGTTGAAAATTAGTAAAAAAAAAACGATTTCAAAAAATCTATATGTGCCTAGGAGTATTTTTGAAATTTTTGAATAAGATGAAAAAATATTAAAAAATAATAATTATTCATGGTCAAAACACTTTCCAATCTTTGGCAAAATAATAAAAAATAAAATAAAAATACGTTGCGAACGAATACCTTATTTTTATGGATTTTATATATTTTTACTTTTTAAATACCCGGCATGACCACCAAAACTAGACAAAACTAGATCGGTCAATGCCCAGTTCTGGTTTGACTGGCTGGTTCCGAGTTGGACCAGCCGACTTTGCGAACACTTCTCTACATATATTGTGTATAGCATAACAATAAATAGATACGTGATCATTCACCGTCCATTTTCTCCGATGGATGGCAGATATGATAGCTAGTTCTATGGCTGGAAGGACTGAGTGCAGTTCAATGGTTCACCTCTGACGTCGGTTGGTGAGTCGGTTGATAAGGACGGTGCTGAATACACCTGTGTAATGGTGTACTATACACATATAAGGAAAAAGTTTATATAGAGCCGAGGCTCTAAACAATCAAATTTGAGCCTATATCAAAATTTTCATTAGAAGATGTTGTTTTGATGCCCAAATATCTTCAAATTGATCATCTCGACATCAAGATGCATGGACATGAGGAAAATTTGGATTTCAAGTTTTGGAAATAGTGTATTTTGTTACGCATTTTTTGACCGTCAATTTTCAATATTTTCAAGTTTTCATAGATCTATCGATCTGCACTATTTTTTAAGCTTTAAACTTTATAAATAAATATGAAAATATATTTTAAGTCTATCACAAAGATTTCCAGTAATGAAACCACATATCTTTATACTATTTGAAGGTAGGCTCTAATTTGATTGTTTAGAGCCTAGGCTCTATGCAAACTGCACCCCACATATAATAAGTACCAACTAACGTTACTAGCTAACAGCTCAGTGTATTCCACGGAGCTTTAATTGTATTATTTATGATAAATTATAATTTTGGTGCAATTTGTGTAGAGCCTAGGCTCTAAATAATCAAATTATAGCCTACCTTCAAATAGTGTCAATAAATGTTGTTTTTATAGTGGAAATGTTTGTCATAGTCTTAAAATATATTTTCATCTTTATTTATAAAGTTTAAAGTTTAAAAAATAGTGTAGATCGACATATCTATGGAAACTTAAAAATATTGAAACCTGATAGTCCAAAACAACCTATTCGAGATGATCAATTTGAGGATATTTTAGCATCAAAACAACCTCTTCTAGTGAAGTTTTTTAGGTAGGCTAATTTGATTGTTTAGAGCCACAACTCTATATTGTGAAAGGAAATTGTATATTGTGTATCGGGTTAATATAGAAAGTATATGTTGCAATCAATATTTACGGGAATGGTTGATAGAGTATATGTACTTTATTATAAGTTTGGGTATGGTTTATGTATCTACGATTTAGTTTCTATTATTGTCATTTGTCAATAAAAGACAAGTGTGTACATTCATATGATTAATGGACACAATGAGTCACTTCAGAGAAACCCGATACTCTTCACATAGTACCAGAACCAGATTCATCCCAGTTGTATTTATTCTTCGTCCCTAAAGCATTGTTGTTAATTTTCAATGCGAGTCTCCTGCTCACCCGGTCGGTGCAACTTCTGTGGAGTCGTGTTTTGACTCTCTCCTGAGTCGTGTTTAGACTATCTGATCTGTCGTCTCTACTGAGTTGTATTTCGACTTTTTGATTTATTTATGTGCCAAGTTGTGTTTTGACTCACTTATCCGTTTGATATTTTCCAATAGTTCATGAAGATATCTGTTCTCGAGGCTTGTTGATTCACTGCTGCTTATTGATCAAGTAATCTGAGTATACACCTGAATATCCAACTGCTCATTTCCGCAATTAGTGTTCAAACTCAAGTTGCTCTCTCTCATAGCATATTGGGTTTGAGGGGGAGTGTGAAAGGAAATTGTATATTGTGCATCCAGTTAATATAGAAAGTATATATTGCAATCAATATTTATGGGAAGGGTTTGATAGAGTATATGTACTTTGTTATAAGTTTAGGTATGGTTTATGTATCTATTATTTAGTTTCTATTATTATCATTTATAATTTGTCTAAAAAAGACAAGTGTGTACATTCATACGATCGATGGACACAAGGAGTCTCTTCAGATAAACCATATACTCTTCACATATATAAACTTTTCCCTTTAAATTTTATTTTATTCTATCTTTATCCAATTATGCTATGATAAAATATATTTTAGTTATTTTTGAAAGTGTTATGTTTATAACATCAAAATATTCGTAATCGAATATTATTTTCTTAATTTAGCGCAAATCGTCATAAATTTAGTATAATATTTTGTTTTTCATTTGTTTCTAAGTTTATCTAGCGGACCCAATTAGTTGGGAAAAAGTTTTCACGATGACGATGAATATAAAATTATCTTTAGTTCTTTTAAAAAATTCCTATCTATGACAATGATTACAATAAAAATAAATTACTATTGCTAATTCATACCAATAGATTTGGAAATTTAGGAACGACATAGGATGAAATTCTTACTTTCCAACACAAATTTATGTTTGGGTAAATCAGTGGGGGAGAAGGGCCCCTGCCCGGTTTTTCATTAGTAAAGATTAAAAAATATATAAATCATAATTTTACAGCCCTACAATATGGCATTTGTGCTAATAAGTAAGGGAAGGGAAATAAAGTCTGGCGGTCTAATGCGCCCAACCGTAGTCTCAAAGAAGGTCGCAGTCATTTTGGTAAGTGCATCCGCTACCATGTTGGCCTCCCAACAGATATAAAAAATGAAACCACACAAAATTTGGAAGGATATGTCTGCAGTTGACTACAACGGGGTGAAGTGTTCATGAAGGATTACATGGGCCTTGAATGACATTGATTAGTATGAATGAATTGCTTTCAATCTACAATGGGAAACAATTGCATTGAATGACTAGATTAATGCCCTCTTCAAGGGTATAAAATTTTGCATAATTGTTGGAGGCAAGACCAAAATGTGTGAAGAACTTAGCAATAAAGGTGGCATCACCATCTCTATTATACCATCACCTCCTGCGGGCCTTGGATTTTGTAGAGAGGCCTCGTCGATATTTAACTTGAAATGCTGAGGACGAGGGAAATACTATACAATTTGAATGAGGGATTTAGATTGTTGTTGGCACTATGTAACCTTTAGATTTTCAATAATTGTCTTTTCCGATATATGGAAGGTCCAGGCTTTGGTATTAGCTAACTCACGGACATGAGAGGTGATCCTCCGTAGCAATTGTTCTCTCATTTATACCTTCATCTGAAAAATTACGTGATTGCATTCCTCCCATAAAAACCAGACTATAGTAAAGACAAAAGAGCTTAAAATATTAAGAAGATCATATGATTTGAATCTAAAAGCAAGCTAATTTCTAAGCATGATTGCAATGGGTGTTCATGCGATGAATCGTTTACCACGCCTCCATAAAACCAACATCCAAATACCCTGCTAGTCTACACACTGAAACAAAGATGACACATGTTATCATCGTTATTTATGCCTAAGAGGTATATAGAAGCCCGGGTGATCCCATGTTTTTTAAGAAGATAATTTATTTGAAGTTGTAGATGAATAGCTAACCAAGAGAAGCACTTGGCTTTAGGGTGACATTTTGATGACCATAATGCTTTAAAAATAAGTTTAGAAGACCCCTCTTGTCAAATAAAATTCCATGTGTACTTAATCAAGAACAAACCATTGGTAGAGTGAATCTGCATCAAAGAATTTTGATTATAGCTTCACATACAAGTTATCCATGTAAAGCATACCTTCAAATAGTATTGCGAAATGTGGCTTCGATATCGAAAACCTTTACAGCAGTCTTAAAATATATTTTAATATTTAATTATAAATTTTAAAGCTTAAAAAATAGTGCTGATCGATAAAAACTTGGAAATCTTTAAAATTAACGATAAAAAAAATGCGTTACAAGATGCACAATTTTCAAAACATGTCCATGCATCTTGATGTCGAAATGATAAATTTAAGGATATTTGGGCATCAAAACAACATTTTCGAATGAAATTTTTGAGTTGGGTTCTAATTTGATTGTTTAGAGCCTCAACTCTATATAAGCTTTTTCCTTATATAAAAGGTGGGTGCAAAACAATTGAGTATATCTATAAACATGAAGACTTTCAAGTGTGTCGGAATATACAATTTTGGCATAAAAAACTCTCACAATAGTTTGGAAATAAATTTGAAGCTCTAAAAGTAGTGGGGATTAAGTATGTCTATAGTCATTTAAAATTCTTTGAAGCGTAAGGTCCAAAATAATGTATTACAATATATAATATTTTAAAGATTTGCGATCATTTTTTTATACCTATACAACTCTCAGACAAGGTGATTAACTGAAGGGTCTTCGAGGTGCACCTAATTTGACCTCGTATAAACTTTTGGGATGGTACTGCGCCCACATGATGTGGACTCCTGAAGGGTGCACAATCATCACATTGAACCTAGCATCACTTAAGGGTCACAAAGTAATTTTGTTTTTTATTTCATTAAACTTAATTTTATTTAAAAATGGATATAGTTTCTATAAGACCAACGAAGGTACTCTCACTTTTAAATTTTGTCCCGAAAATACTTCATGGGAAATCATTAAGATGGCCATAAGATCTATTTTCACAAGTAATTATATGTAACTAAAAAATGGCGCAATCATGTGGATTCAGGATCGCTTGAAAATAAATAGTTTAGATGATTTGAATGATTTTCATAATCGATAAAGGATTAAGTTTCTATAAGGTTTAGGCTTTATGAAAACAAAATAAATCTTCATCTCAAATCCTCGTCTTGAGAGCAGTTTAGACAACAAAAATCTCCACGATGGCTCTAGAACTAATTTCTAATACAAACAATAAAATTTGAAACTCAAAAAATATATAAACCTCATAGATTTGCGGATATTTACTTTTAAGGTGAAATAGATGGTTTAGATAATTCGTTAGAATATACTTCTAGACCAATACATATATATTTTTTTGGTTAAGTGACTAAAATATTTTTAGACTTTCAAATCTTAGTCTTTTTTAGAAGTTAAGTCGAGATGATCGACATAAAAGTTTTCCATATACTTAAATTGCAATTTTCGATGAATGGAGGCCAAAAATTTATTTTCGACCACCCTTGACCTTATTACAAACTTTTCCTCATACAAATGTTTCGTCCTTTTCTGTTCTCTTTGGCAAGGCAAAATAGAACAGTCCTTTTTCCCGCTCTAGTGTCGTTACAGCGCGCGCCAAGATTTCACGCCCACGCTTATCCTGAAGGCGCCCTTGCTCTGAGTTGAGGCCGCAATTTGCTCGCCATTAATGGCGAGGAGAAAGCTTCTTGCGTGTTCTAGCTCCTCTGTCTTCACGGTGAGATAGAAAATTCACCATCATTCTCTTCGTCACTCCATTCTCTTCCTTATCTCCTTAGCTTCAGTCTTCTCAGAAACTTGTAAATATGAACTTAGGGTTTTTACTTTGCAGAATGGTCTTAAATTGGAGGGAATCTTAAACGAATTGGCTCCATTTTCATATAGATCATCTCAAGTATGGGCAAGAAAAGGTGTGACTGCTATTTATACTAACCTCTTGGACCTTATACTTTGCTTTTACAACACGAAATCGTAGAAATTGTTTACACTCTATCTGTATTAGCAATTTGACTGAATCAGTTGCCAAATGCAAGAATATGCAAAAACAAGCTCGTTTCAATGGTTACTTAACTTTGTTGTTTTGTGGAAATTTTCATGTAGTGGAGAAGTTATGGCCAGAGATTGGCGGAAATTGTCGAAGATTTAACAGCCAAGTATTGTTACATGAAAAGGCATTGAACTATAACGAGCCTGAAACCGATTTGTATGCTCCTGTTTTGAAAGATGAGATTGCAAAACTGAGAATGGAGTTTGAGGCGGCTAAAAGAAGTTTTCTCAATATCCCCGAGGCTCTCAAATCAATGCCAAAAATGAACCCTAAAGGTAGTTTCATCACGATTATTATTGCTTCCCTTCAACTCAATACTTCATTTGGTGTTTTCAGTTTTCAATCAACTAGGATATGGCTAGTCTGTTAGTGCTAATAGATGGATTTAAGTTCCTTATGGTTTTTAAAGGTATTATGTTTTCGAAATGTAGTGGTAAACTTCGCTGGCCTTTTTTGTATTGTTTTATAATGACAAGTTAAACATATAGTTTGAAACATTTGGTTGTCATCAGATGCACATCATAGAATGACAAATTTTCTGACAAGAGTCATATATCTCCTCTGGTGTTCAGGTATTTACGTCAATAAAAACCTAAGGTTGGATAATATACAAGTGTATGGTTTCGACTATGACTATACACTGGCTCATTACTCTGACAATTTGCAGAGTTTAATTTACGACCTAGCAAAAGAGCACATGGTCAATGAGGTTGGTCATAACTTCTTCTTTTTTTTTCATTAACATTGCTTGCTTCTCCCTGTTTGCCACTGTTTAATTAGCTCTGACCAACTTCTTATCTTGTGATGTATATAGTTCAAGTATCCTGAGAGTTGCTTGCAGTTCAAGTATGATCCCACTTTTCCAATACGAGGGTTGTATTATGACAGAATAAAAGGTTGCCTTTTGAAAATGGATTTTTTCCAGTCTATTGAGCCGGATGGATGCTTCTATGGACGCCGTCAGGTACATGAATTTGATTGTTGAAATATATAATTATTGGTCCCATATCACTTAATGGAAACAGCTGTTGAATATAAATCTCTACGCTTATTTTCTTTTTGGAATAACAATAATAGGTCATTTAATTGCTACAGGGAAAAGCTTGCATTTGCAAATACACTTAAAGGCCATCTGAATTATGCTAGGAACATACTCAGTAATTAACTTAACTTTTCCCCTTGAATGAACTTACATGTTTCACATGGAAAAAATATCTGCCATATCATTGTACATGTTCTCATTGTCTATGGACTTCAAATTTATCATTGTTTTAAAGAAAATAATGAGCCGTGCTTTCCTAGCCACATTTTTTATGCTTGAGCAAAGGGATATGGTACTGGTTCTTGATAAGGGATGTGAAGATAGAACAGTACGATGGAATACAGATATACTTCTCATCTGTCACATATAAGACAAAGAAAATAAGTGGAATAGGCATAACATGTGTCTATGGCATTAGGATATAAACTAGATATTCTCAAGTTGAGCTTCAATTTTGGAAGGTTAGGTAAGTGTCACTTGTAACTGACCTCATTATGCTCGATTAGCCTGAAACACGATGTTGAAGGTTGTTTGAGTGCACCATGATTGTCATGATGAACAATGGTATGATTAAGGAGGGACTGCTTATGTAGTTTAAAATATGTCCTAAGCAATTAAATTCGACAGTAATACTATCCTCTTGTTTTCTACTAAGCTTCTATCTTAGGTGTGACAATGAACCATTCTTTATCTGCCAATTGGACTCGAGGAGAACACAATCAATGGACTGTTTCAATGATTGGATGATATTCAGTGGGCCAGATTTCCTAGATGAAAGTTTTTGATGTCCCTGATGGTGATAGAATATCTAGAACTGTTCAATAAATATACTTCAGAACCTCAAAGAATGCACGAGAATTTAATAGTCTACAAACTCGAAAATCAGTCCGATAAAATTTAGTTGTTAATCTTGCATGAAAGATAATTCTGTGCAACGATGCTCAGCATTAAAATATTTTGTAATATGATATTTGTGCATGTGATGGATCTCCAATGACGATTTATAGATATTGAAGAATATATGCTTTTGATTTCTAGATCATGATGTCTTAAATATATCTTGATTTATGCAATTAATATTCAAAATACAACCTTCAAATTGTTCTGTATTTTGATATTTTCATGTAGACCTCATGAATTTTGGGTTTTGTTGTATATTGGTTTTCGGAAATTAGCCTATACCTCATGAAATTTGGGTTATATAAAACTGAACTTCATTGTTCACATTACAACCTAAATCCCTTTATGTAGTTTAAGATTTTGTTTTGAGACCTTTTTCTCTCCTTCCAATAAACAATTATGCTGTATTGTAGTTGTGCCTCAACATACTGTCTTTTATGAACTTGGGTTTGGTAACTTTATACTCTTTCTATCTTTCATTTATCTTACCTTGTCATGTGAAATGTTATTTGAATTAAAATGCAAAAATATTGCTGGTTGTACTCATAGCAATAAACCTTTTTCCATTATAATGACAAATAGCTTAGCCGGGAGGAAATTAAGGAGATGTATGGTACGCGACATATTGGTCGAGATCAGGCACGTGGTCTGGTTGGTCTGATGGATCTTTTCTGTTTTAGTGAGGTAAGTCACAAAGCTAGGAACTCTTTTCTGAACCTTCTGCCTTGCCATTTTATTGAACTGGTTCTGTTGATAGAGTATAATAAACCAGTAAAGAGATGAAGGTGAAGAATCTATTTTCAGTCGTTGAGCGTATATTATCTTTTATGGTGTCTCCATTTGTTTGCATTTTTAGTTGGTCATTCCCTTTTTGTACTTCTCATTCTCTACCTTTCATGATTATTAAGTGATATCTTGAACCTTAAACATACCATATAGGTAACAGCAGATTTTGTGGCTTACTTAAAGTGTTTATTTTCTTATTGTTCCAATGCTTTGATACCTCATTAAATGCTAGTTATTTGATGATCCAATTTTTTGGAGGCAATTACATATAATAATAACTTCCAGTCTCTCTCATTATCTAATTATTTGTCTAAGGGGTGTTCTTAATTCTAATAGTTGTAGTTGAAATGCTAGTCACACCTTATGAGTTGGAAAATTTCTGCATGGGTTAAGCCTTTGTTGAGGGAACCTTGGGAGTAAGGCCATGGTCCCACCTTAGGAACTCAATCTTACGGTTCCTCTAAGGGATCTTAGAGGGAGCTGGGTTTAGAGAAATAGGGATTTCGCAACCTATAAAATGGGATCTCAGTCTATATGCTTGTTGGATCCCTCTAAAGAGAGGAACTATACTATTAATTGAACTACTGCTCCTCTTCTTGGTATTATATATTTATTTCTTTAAAATATGTTAAATTGTGGCGCATATCAAATTGTGGTATACTAATATTATAGTATTAAAAATATACAATTTAATATCATAGTAAGCCAATTTATGACATTGTTAAACTGTATTATTGTAGTAAATTGGAGTACTATAACTACAATATGGTAATGAGCTAAAGTGTCTGACAACGGATTGTAGGGGTGGCAATGGGTCGGGTTGGGTCTGGGTTGACCCGGACATAGACCCAACCCGACTAAACTAGGCTTTACATGGACCTGGACCTGGGGTCGGGTCTGAGTCACTTGGACCTGAAGCTGACCTTATTTGGACTTGGACCCGAACCGGACCCAGACCCGGACTCGGACCCAGATCTGGATCCATGTCTAGAAATTAAAAAAAAATAAAAAAAATAAAAAAAATTATATGCTGTATAATATATATCGTATGTATATTTTTTACATATATTATACGGGGTCGGGTCAACCTATACCCAGACCCAACCCAACCCGATCCGACACGACCCGATAGGGTCCATCCCGAACCTAGACCCATGCAGCCACCACTAATTGATCGAGCGGGCATTGGCTCGTCGGTTTGAATTTTATCAAATACTGTTAAGTGATCTCATTTTATGTATAGTGGAGCTTAGATACCTCCAAGTCAAAACCCCTATCCTAGTGACATGGGATCTCGCTCCCAGGTAGCCTAGGATCTAGCTCCTTAATATGTCGATGTACGGCCATCGATTCTAACCCTAGAGAACTCCCACCCTATACGGCGGTTCAGCATTCCCCAAACCGATCCTGCTCCCGAACCCCCTCTCGCCTCCAACAACTATGGGTTAAGCTTTAATTCTATTTGTTTATGGCCTTTCAATTTTTGTATAACCATAAGCAATTACATCCATAAATGAAATCATAATCAGCCCTTTGTATTCCCTTAAAACATGTGGAATTTTTTCTGATTGTTGATTGCAGATGCATGATCAAAAGCAGGTAAGTGTTTTGTTTGCACTTAACATCAATGGTCGATCATATATCTTTGGTCTTCCTTAGAACATTATTTTTTTCTATATTCGATGAAACAAGTCCTAATCTATCCCTTTGGATTGCAAATGGCTGGCTTCTTGTTTTCCTTTTCTTTTTGCTCACTCTCCAACTTCTTCACATTTTTCCGAATGCTGACTGCTGAGTTCTTTTCATGTGTGTGTGCTTGTGTGTATATTTGTAGCATACAGTTGTATATGTATACCCTCACTAACACACAAATGCAATTTTTTTTTTGCCTTTCTGCTGGGTTTTTCTCTTGCTTTTAACCATGTTGCATCCTATATAGTGACTATTTTGGGCATTCGTTCTTTTATTTTTTGTTTTTATTTTTTATTTTTTTGGCTTGTACATAGTGCTAGATTCCTCTTGATTTATTGTGCATGTTATGTGATGTGTTGCGCTTGTTTTAGTAATTCATTATTCTTCTCTTTATTTATTTGTTTATTTGTTCTCTGTGCTTCTTTTTTGGTGCAGGCATGCCTTATTGCGACTATTGTGCAGCATTTTGTGGATGCTAAGTTGGACTTTGATGCTTCCTACATTTATAATGATGTCAATCGTGCCATTCAGCATGTCCATCAAAGTGGCTTGGTTCATAAGAGAATCCTATCCAATCCACATAGATATCTAATGAAAAATGTGAGCCTGTTTACACTTATTTTCAAATATTTTCATTGATGATCTTTTCTTTTATTAAATGTAATTCTCGATTTATTGATAAAAATATAACTGGAAATCTTTATTTATGATTCATCATCATCATCATCAGAGCCTTATCTCAACTATTTGGAGTTGGCTACACAAATCCTGTTATGCTATTTTGCTCTATCAAGGGCCATACCCTCAGTAAGACCATAAATCAACGATATCACTACTTCCATCTATGTCAATTTGGGCCTTCCTCTTGCCCTTTTAGAGCCTTCCGCTTGCACCAAATTACATCTCCTAACCTGTGATGTATTAAGCCTATATGCTGCACATGACCAGTCCACCCAAGTATACTTTCCCTCATCTTAATCAGCTATCGAAGCCACACCTAAACTCTGCCTTGGCTGGCCGTATGCCAGTCATGTCGTTCCCAAGCCCTGGTAAAGGAGGAGAGTACGCAACAAACATAAAAATTCTGCCGCATCTTTTCACGAGTCTTGAACCTATTTATTATTCATTATGGAGATCTGTTTGAAATAGATCACATGTTTGAACTTTGAAGTACAAATGTGAAAAGTAAACTTTTCAATGCCCAATGAGCCAGCAATGGACCATGGGATGGCCCAAAATTTGAAAAAAAAGAAAACTTCTATAGTAGACATTTTGACTGATCTCTAGATCCCTATTGGAAACTCGTATGTTCACTTTACATTGGATTTCATCAAATTTGCTCTCCTTCCCCCTTGTCAAAGTTATAGTAGACATAATTTTTTTTGATTCTCAAAATTTCCTCCTTGCCCCCACTCTTAGTTTGCTCAATCTATGGGAGTTTTTTGGCCGATTAAATTTTATTTATTTTTGGGTAGCTTTCATTCATTTGTATTGTGATTTTGATCTGTCTTTTTTGCTGTTCGATAACTATGTTCCTCCTTGCGGTGATTCCCACTAAAATCTGCTTTCAATTTTCTAGAAGACATTCACTTCTTATTTTACAATAAAAAAGGGCTGATTACTACAGGGACAAATATTCCGCTTCTTGAAAATGCTGAAGGAGAAGGAAAAGAAACTTTTCTTGCTGACCAATTCCCCTTACTACTTTGTGGATGGAGGGATGCAGTTTATGTTGCAGGTGACTTCTATATCTCGAAATGGCCAGATTCTTTCTATGTATTTGGTTTTGATGTGCCTGCTTGGTATGGAGTCCATGTACTTGATTTGCTTATGTTATTTATGTTAGGATATGGATATTTTGGGTTCATGTTGATATACATCATTATGGATGTATGAGTATATATCTCTTGATAAGATTAGGTATCTAGAAGATAAGAAGTGACCATATTCAAAGTCACTTGGTCATCAAGGTAGTTTGGTGATAAGGCCTTCTATTATTTACCTGTATCTCCAAGAATCGTACCGTATTTATCTCCTGTAATTGTGTGATTATCCTCTATATATAAATGTACTTATTGATGTAAACATTCATAAAAAATAGTCGCGAGGCTTCGGCCTGAACCACATGTTGTGTTCTCTCTTCTTGTCTCCCCTATGCTCCCACAAATTCTAACAATTTAAATGATTTTATTCACACTCGAGAAACATATTTGTTCCATATGAAATATCCAATGCCTTCTTTCTCTATGTTTGCTTTTTTTATCATCTGTAATGTATTCCATCTGAATTGTTTTTCTGATTTTAGCACTATTACATATGACTTTTAGATTTGTGGTATATGTCATATATCTCTCGTGCTATATATTTAGTGGTAGGTATATGATTATTATTGAGATGGTAATAGATGTGATTTTATGTTTATGTAGAGGTGTACTAGTAACACTCTTTGACTGCATTCATATTTGTTATCCTTGTTATGCCAGTGCATTTGATTGTGTTGTCCTTGTATTTGATTGTGTTGTCCCTGTTTCGGTATTATACCAGTTAAAGAGAATTTGCCTCCCATCTATTTTGGTAGCAGAATTGATGCAGAGAGAAAATAAAACCAGAATAATAACAACAAAAAAAAAAAAGTTGAGAGAATATACCCTCTTTCAAGGTCTGTAAGGGAATCCACCCCAAAAACGATCTCTTCACAAGACCAAATTTTATTCAATTATCTTTCATTGGCTTTACAAAGAAGGGACATCTCCCTTTAAATAGACTATGAAAAAAAAAACAAATAACTAAAAAAAACCCATAAAAAGAAGTACTCTCTCTCTCTAACTTGCACATATATCTCAATTCTTCCATATCTATGTTTCCTTAAAGCTCTCATTCTTCCCACGTACCATATTCTTTGAAGATCTCCTTAAATCTCTCATTCTTCCCAAATATCATATTTTTTGAAGATCTCCTTATCTGTGTAAAAGATAAGTCTCTTTAATCTCACTTTAGCCTTATCTACCAATCTAACCATGAGGTAAATTATCCCTATCCTAAACCCACGCACAAAAGAAGCTCATGGCCACCTAATTAACCTTGTGCACCTCTTATTCTTGAAAATAAAAGATAAATTAAAAAAAAATATAATATTTTAAATTTTGAATTTTTTCTGCCTCATTTTCCCCTGGTTGGGAGAAGCGACCTCGAGCTTTTTTTCAAAGTGGATCTCCTTCATCTCCATGTAGGACTATTTCTTGAATTTGATCTTCTTTCGGAACTTCATCCTCTTCCTTAGTCAAGTGTACCTCTATATTCTTTTTTGGGCATTCATAGGCACGATGTTCTGGTTCGTTGCATCGATAACACGTATCTTTTTTTCTTCATTAAATTTCGGTTGGCATGAAACCTCCTTCTGGGTATTACATCGTTTATCAGTACTCCCTTGGTATTTAGTTTCTACTTGTAAAGCAAGTTGAAAAGCTTCACTTGGAGTCCATGGTCGATGTAGAAAAACGCCATCCCTAATGGTAGGTTGAAGGCCATTTACATATCGAGCAATCTTTTGTCCTTCCGTCCCTTAGAGGTTATTTCGAGCAACTAATCGATAAAAGTCCCCAGTATAATCTTCTACTTTTTTTTCATTTTGTCGAAGATTTTGGAGTTCTTGAAAGAAAATTTGCTCATGATCCATAGGAAGAAAATTTTCTTTCAATTTCTTTTTCAAGTTTTGCCAGTCAGTAATTTTTCCTTTTCCATTACGAAGTCGAGATTGTTGAACTTACTCCGATCAGGCTGCAACATACCTGCGGAGCTTGGTAAGAACAAGTTTAACCTTATGTTCCTCTAGCAATTCACTCCATTCAAAATAATTCTCAATTGCACTTAACCAATCAATAAAAGCTTTGATGTGGAGCTTATCATGAAATTTCGAGAGATCGAATTTAATACCAAAATCTCACTGTATAGGATGCAGATCTGGCCTATAAATTTCTTTGTTACACTTGAAATCAACACCCTGGGTTTGTCGTGGGACTACTGGTGCAAGATCAATGTGGTTGCGAGCACTTTCTTCACGATAAACATTGTTCTCCAACCATTGCAACCTCTGATCCAACCGTTGCATCCCCTGATACATCTCACGTACTTTGGTTCGAACATCCTTTAAAGCTTTAGTCAAATTTTCTATAGCTTGTCCCCAGCGATCATCCCTAACAGGAGTAGGATTAGCTTGATTAACTTTTGGTGGCATTGTAAAAAAAAAAACCAGATCTCTGGATCTTACTTGCTCTAATACCAACTGATGTAGGGAGAAAATAAAACCAGAATAATAATAAATATAGAATAAAAGGCTAAGAGTATATACCATCTCTCAAGGTCCGTAACGGAATTCATTCCAAAAACAATATCTTCACAAGACCAAATTTTATTCAATTCTCATTAATTGCCTTTACAAAGAAGGTACATCTCCCTTTAAATAGACTATGAAAAAAAAACCAAATAACTAACTAAAAAAACCCATAAAAAAAGTACTCTCTCTCTCTCTCTCTAACTTGCATGTGCATCTCAATCCTTCCATAACTATATCTCCTTAAAGCTCTCATTCTTCCCACATATCATTTTTTTTGAAGATCTCCTTAAATCTCTCATTCTTCCTACATGCCATATTTTCTGAAGATCTCCTTATCTGTCTAAATAATAAGTCTCTTTAATCTCACTTTAGCCTTATGTACCAATCTAACCATGGGGTAAATTATCCCTATCCTAAACCCACGCACAAATAAAGCTCATGCCCACCTCCTATTCCTGAAATTAAAAGATAAATTAAAAAATAAAATAAAATTGTAATATTTTAATTTCGAATTTTTTTCTGCATCAAGAATTGAGTAATCCTTGACCTGCATTTCATTCTTCCTTTGCTGTATGAATCTTTTTTATGAAGGTTACCTTGGCTCTATCATGACCCACATCTAACATTCTTCAGAATGAATCTCAAAATCATAACTGTTATGAATGAAAATCTTTTAGTGAATAATTTGGTTTATCGATTGCAGTGTGCAAGTTTTTTACTGTTGTGACAAACATCTAACATTTTTCTGACAAATCTTAAAATTGTTACCGTTACATATGACAATCTCTTAGTTGGTGGTTTGGTGTATTGATTGTGCAAGTTTCTTACTGTTGTGCCCCTTCAATTGAGTTTCTTCACCCAAATACTTGTGACCCTTGGAAGATGGAGGCATGCCATTGGATCTGTTTTGCGCCAATCTCATTGAGGTTTAGTTTCACTATTATTGCTCGAAACTTGAAAGACACTCTGTGCCAACCTCTTTCTGGGCAGTGACTATCGTTTTTTTCCCTATGTAGCTAATATTATGAATGAAATGATGCTAGGAAAAGCTCATTCAACTATTTGATAGAACAATAACAAAATGTGTTTCTGGGGATACATGAAGCATTGGTATTATTTTGGTGTTTGAATTGCGAATACACCTTATTTCTTTGTCTGATACGCTGCTGATGCACATTGCTAGTTTTCATTTATAAGGTTATATAGATGGCTGTATGACGGCCCTATTAATGTGCTGCTTATATGACATGAATGTTAACCCTTACTGATGACAAGATCATAGCTTTGATGATTGGTCTTGAATTCGGTTAGTTTAGGCATTGTGGCATTGTTTTGTGCATAACAATTGCACAACAGTTGATTTGACAATGGAAATGTTTATCCATTGAGCAATTTCTATAGATTTTTTTGACTTGAGGACCTTCACTAAATTTAGGGCACTCGAACAATTAGGCAGTAATACTCTGCTCACCACACTTTTCCTCTTGTGAGGTTTGACTCCATACTAATTGATTCTTTCGAGGACGACATGGCCTACTGTGATGGTGGCATGAATTGGGTGCAATGTCTCAGCCCAAAGCTGTTGTTTTTCCCACCTTCCAATTGAGATGGGTTCTGTGCTTTCTTCCATTGTAGAGGTCATGTGGCCCTGCTGGAGTCTTTAACTTTTTCCTCTAGGCCTACTTGTTGCTTGTGTTAGAATTCGTGGGAGCATATATGCACAAACATTGAATGGAGAATGGAGAGAGAAGAAGAGAGAACACAACATTTACGTGGTTCAGGCGAAGCCTTATGTGTACGGATCCAAAGCCCAACGGGCTACATGTTCACTATTTTGGGTGAATGTTTACATCAATAAGTACCTCTATATATAGAGGACAATCACGCAATTATTAATATGAACCCGAGATATCTATATCCTAACAGCTGCACCCTATTTCAGTAATTATACTCCCTTGCTGTTGCCTATTGTACATCGCATGTTTTTTTTCCCTCGAGTCTTGAAGTATATGATGCATGTTCCTCGGACTGACCTCTGCTCTTTTCATGTGTGTGCAACTCCTTTGTATTTACTGCTACTGTTACTCTAGGTCATTACATGCACCTTTTTTGGCAGTTGCCAACCATGTGATGAAACGTTTCTTCTAATTTGGCTATTGGGAGCTTGGTTGGGAGGGACCTTTCACTGGAAATGCTTCTCTTGACTTCCGTGTTGATCCCTTCATTGGTTTTCATTTTCCTCCTCCTAGTGTAATCTTTGGTACTGATGTCTAGGATATGTTAGTCTGGATCATAGTTAGTTAATCTTTTGGATCATATTCCCACACTGTGCTCAGTTGTATGAATTGTTGGTTGGCAAGATATCTCCCTGACCTTTTTGTCCTAGACAATAAAACATCTTCACCTGTAATTAGTAATAGTAAAACCATGACTTTTTCTAATCCAGCTTAGTTATTTCTTAATTCATGTGATTGTTTTGTACCAGAAAAGGACTACCACAAGCCACAATTTATATTGAGATAATTGCATATTTAACATTGAACGCATGTGAAACTTTGCTTATGGCATTCATAACTTGTCAAGAAAGTTTAAGAAGGACTAAATACATAATACTTGAAAACTGATAGGAACAAGAAGAATTATGTTGTAACATGAATAGTAAGGTTTATTAGTTCCTTTGGCTCGCAGTTAGGAGTTATATTCTCCTGTTTTATACTTCAGATTTCAATCAACTGATGTGCACTGGGGGTATGTTCCAATCTCCCCTTTTGGTGTTTAGGATAGTGGCTAACAGTCGTGTGTCAACTATAGAAAGTTAGAAGCTCAAGAGTTCTATGTCATTGTTCTTTTACAACCATTCTTTTTGCCATTGTACTATTTTGTCATCTTGCCAAGTAACCTAAACTCACAATAAGTTCATTTATGATACTTCATGGTTAAATCCTGAATAGGAATTTGGTGAAAATGGAGATTCTTGGAGAGAGCTTTTTGATGTTGTGATCGTACAAGCCAATAAGCCAAACTTCTATACTTCTGAGCATCCATTCCGGTACTATATTTATTTTCTCTGTACTTCCGAGTGTTAGTTCTGGTATTTTACTTATTTTTATGCAATAAAACTATGAGTGTGCTTTTTATCATTATTGTCAAATGTAATCCTTAGAAAATTGAAATATGTGAATTTTTATATTTTCTTTTGATGCCAATAATTAACCACCTTGATTTGGATTATTTTTCCATTAATTACCCTTTATATTGAAATTTTGTGAGTTATAATCAATTAGTTGATTTCTAGAATCCTTTTTGAGTAGAAATTGGTATCCCAAAACTTTCTTAATTATGCTCTTTAACTTTTTACTTCACTTATGATACGAACGGCCATTATTTAAGACGCATGTGGTGTATGGTGAATGAATTGTCTTTGTGGGCCGGTGTGGTTTTCCTGGCCTTTAAGACTGTTTTTGTCATATGTCAATTGTATTCATTGGATGACGGACTGACTTGCAGAATGCAAATGATAAAAGGCAAAAGATTTTATACTCTCGCAGGAGTATATCGTCCATTTACTCACTTGTGTAAAACACAATATAGGTGTCTGAATATTGGGGATGTGATCACTAAGCTCAGTAAAAAAAATTCCAAATTGAACTCCCTATGTACTTGAAAAAAGAAATAATGTCTCAAGATTGAATAGAGACCCTTCAATTTTTTAAGGGCTGGATTTAAATATCAGAAAACTAAAATTCATATTTTTTTTCTTTTGAAAATAATCTTGTGATTCTTAGGTGGTTCCCAAAATTTCATACCAAAGAAATCCTCCCAAGTAGGTCTTTTTATTGAGGGAGCAGATGCATATTATGCTCCCAAGGGAGCATAGTAAATGTGCTCAATGATAAATTCCATTTCCTAGTTTTATTTATTTGTTTATTTGTTCTCCAACTTTTCCCCCGAGTATTTTGTAATTATTTTCTTGCATTCAAAACCAGTTAAATTGTCTTCAACATTTGTCTTTTTTCTAATATGTTGGAGAAGGGGTTTGTTGTAGCTTGAAAAGTCCTTCCACTCTTTCACATCGGACATCGTAGTTTTCTCTGAGAATTTTTTTGGAATAAAAGACAAAATTGTCCCATAATTGGTGGATTTTTTTTTGATAATATAATTGGTGGATATTTTTGAAAAAAGGTAGCCAAATTTTTATTGATGTGTTCAAGTTAGTGGTGCCTATGGTCATGGCGGTTGGTTGATTAGCTTAGCGTGGGATGCACTCTAGTAACAAAATGTCGACATGTAGATGAGTAGAAGGTTATCTTTTGATACCATTGAACTTAGAGGTACCATAGCCAGAATGATAGGAGTGATCTTTTTCCTTCAACCAGCTTCAAATATGATGTAAGAGGATTCCCATTACCCAGCATTATTGGTGAATCTTGATTGAAAAGCCATTCAAAAGCCTACTATTGTGCATTCTCCACTTTGCACTCACTTATGGTTGTGCCTAGCTC